GACCTTTGCCGTCCCAGCTGCAGCCTCCTCCTCTCTGCAGGGATCCCACACTTGACTCCTTAGCAACCTCCTTTGTGCCTCTGATCTCTCTCCATTTCTCTGGTAATAGCCCTTGGCAGCGGGACTTGTTGTTCCTTGGTGGCTGGAAAAGGCAGGAGCCGCCAATGCCAAGGGCTCTGCAGAATCCCTTTCACCCACTGCTCGCAGCGCTGCCCTCGGAGCCCCCCAGATGCTGCTGGTGGCTTCTCAGAGGGGCTTTTTGGGGGATTTGATGGAAGGAAACAGCAGCAAATCAAAGGAAGAAAAGTCAGCCCTAGGGAGTTCTCCAGCGCGGTTTCCGCCCGTGCGGGGCTTTGTGGGTGTGGTGGTTCTGGTTTGGTTCTGGGCAGGTTCCCTTGAGCTCCTGCAGGTCCACCTGAGCTCCTGGAGGTCCACCTGAGCTCCTGGGGCCACCTCAGAGCCCCTCTGTGCGGAAGGCAGCAGGCAGGTGGGGTTTGCTCACCTGGATCATGGCGGGATCCTGGAGTGGTTTGGGGTGGAAAGGTGGGCAGGGACACCTCCTGCTGTCCCAGGTTACTCCAAGCTCCATCCAGCCTGGCCTTGGATACTCACAGCGTTCTCAGGATGGTGTGGAGGTGCCAGGCTTGGAGCTGGACAGGGCTGGGAAGGGATGGGCAAGGTGCAAAGCAAAGCAGAGCCAGCTGAGGAGCACAAAGCCATCCTTCCCTGGCTAAGGAACTGTAAACCACGGGGTGGTTTGGGTTGGAACAGACCTTAAAGCCCATCCTGCTGTGGGCAGGGACACCTCCCACCATCCCAGATTGCTCCAAACCCCATCTAGCCTGTCCTCAAACCCTTCCAGGCATGGAGCATCCATCCAGCCCGTCCTCAAACCCTTCCAGGCATGGAGCATCCATCCAGCCTGTCCTCAAACCCTTCCAGGCATGGAGCATCCTGTTATTCTTCTCTTCTCATGGAAGAAGCAGCAGGGATCTGAATTCAGTGAGGTTGGTGGGAACATCAGGTGCAGTTCTGGTTGTCACCTTTGGCTTGCTGCTGTCACAGCTGTAGAAGAAGCTGTACCTGTGTCACCTGCTCCTTGTGGGACATTCCCTGCAGAACAGAAAAGCCAGGATCCAGCTCATCCTTCCTGCACCACGGACCTTGATCCGTCACCAGAGAGGGAGATGGGAAGGTCTGGAGTCCTGGGGCTCTAAGTGGGTTTTAGACCCCCAGCTGAAGTCGGTCTTGTTGGATTCCTCAGATTTAGGTTCTCCAGGAGCCTCTTCCAGCCCTGCCCTATAATCCAGAAATTGTTTTATTTTTAGATTTCACCTTGGGAAGCTCCTTCCTCTCCCACAAACTGGGGTGTAAATTTGTCTCAGAATACCCTGGTGAGGGTTTGGCTTTCACAGAGATGGTGAAACCACTTTTCCTGTGGGTAGCAGAGGTGGGAAGTGCACGGAGCTGGGATTTTCCCTGGAAGCTTTCCTTATTTATAGCAGGAGCAAAATGAAAATCTAGAATTTAGTTGGGAACTTTGGGTGGGTTTTTGCCCATCTTTTGTACAGCAAAAACACAGAAAGGTCTTTAAATTGACTCTAAATTTATAACGTGGGTGCCCCATTCCCCACCCTTCCCTCTGGAGCCGGGATCAATTGGGAATTTTGCAGACATAGCTTGAGTCACCAAGCTTTTGCTCAGCTTCCCGTGCTATTGGCCTGTCTGTACCATTTTTTTCAGAATTAATTTTGGGCTGAAAAAGTCTCAAAGAAGTGCTTTGTTCCTCCTTGACACTCACTCCAGGGAAAAAAGAAAAAAAAGAAAAAAAAAGAGGAGAAAAAGGAAAAAAAAAAAAAAGCCGTGGAAAATCTGACATCTGCATTGTAGAGAAAAATCAATAGATAGGGAGGAATATAATTATCCCCCACTCCTGAAGGAATTTTTCAGATATTTTTTGGAACAGTGACTCATATGGGCTTAGGGCTTGAATGACATTTTAATTATTCTGGCTTTTTTTCGCTTTGAATCACCCAAGTACAGCAGGCTGGAAGGGGCACAGTTGGGCACAGCCATCACAGGAAGATGAAAGGGCAGGATTTGGTGTTGGAGCTGAGCTCTTCCCTCCCGTCAGGTGGGGGCTGGATCTCTGATGGATCCCCCTGGATTCTGTTTTCTGTTGTCCTGTAAATATGGGAACCCTTTCCCTGCTTTGGGAATGTTTTATTCTGTATTCCAGAGCAGGGCTGGTGTGGGGGCAAAGTGATTAAACCCAGGAATTTTATTATCCTCCATTAAAGTAAATCTAAAAACAAAGAAAAATCCTAAATGTAATTTTCCTTGCCCTGTGAGAAATGCTGCTGGATTTAATTCCTCTTCATTAATTAGGGGAGTTTGGGGTTTTCCAGGTCCAAGCAGGTGCTGCATCTCCATCCTGCCCCAGCTCCTTGGCCATGCCCTGCAGGGAGCAAACCTGGCAGGGGAGGAGGAATTGAGCCCATATTTCATTCCGGAGCTTAATTCAATCCAGGGGCAACATTTTCTACTGCTCCTGCTGTAAATTCCTGTGACAAGGACCTCAAGTTCCCCTTTCCCAGGCCAGGAGCTCTCATTATCCCGGGGAGCCGGAGTGCCACCAGCGCCCGACCCCGTGTCCCTGCAGCCACCAGCCAGCAGTGGGAATTTAATAATCCTGGATTCAGAGCGAGGCCACGGAGGTGAAAGGCCTTCTGCTGGTTCACTTGGCCACCTGGTTGCTTGCCTTGAGCTCAGATTTAATTTGTATTCCTGAGAACTTCCCGATTTCCAGCAGCCCCCGGGATGTGCGGAGCTGCTGTGGGGTGCCTGGTGCTCGGAGATCTTTTCCAGCCTCAGCAGCTCCAGGATTCCGTGATTCTCCTTCTCCTTTCCTGCCTCTTCTCAGCAGAGCTGAAGCCTCAGCACGCAGAGATTTTTCTGTGCACGTTTCTGATCCAAATCCTTGGGAAAACTGGAAAACTCAGGTGCCAATGTGGGAGTGAGGTGGCCTCGAAGCCAGCTCAGGGTAAAGCTGACTTGAAACCCCTTAATAATGAGAGTGGGAGTTTTTTATGCTGCAAAACATCTTTGATATGAAGACTTTCCTGTTTGAAAGCTTCCTAGTAAACAAAAAGGGATGAACTGCCTGAGTGAGTCATTGCAGGGAAAATCAGAATTTTCAGAGTGCTGCTTTCCCCATCCTTGTTTTAATTGGAGTTTTAATTATTCCTGCTGGATAATAGAGCTTGATAACAGCCTGGGGAAGGAGGAGGGAAGGTCATCAAGATAACTGTCCTGTTTTAATATTCCAGCATTCCTGCACAGAGCTTCCTCAGTGTGTGCTGGCCCTGCCAGGGCTGGAGCTGCAGCACATCCTGGGAGATGCTATCACCAGATCCTGTAATTTTAGAAAAGCTTGGAGGGCAGGACAGCCTGGGGAGGGGAGGATGGAGTGGCTGCTGACAGTGAGGGTGTCTTGTCCCTGCTCCAGAGGGATGGAGGGGACGTGCTGAATAAGTTCCTGGAGATAAAACTGCTTTGCCATCCCAGAAATCCTGGGTGATGTCGCTCTGCATCCCTTTTCTGCCAGGCAGGAGTTCATAAACTCTGCTCTGCCCTGTGCTCTCAGCTGTCAGACAGACAGACAGATATACAGCCCTGGGAAGTGGAAATTCCTGAATATTTCCAAGGTCCGCACATTTTTGGGGGGTTTTTAATTGGGATTTTTAATTTCTTTTGAGCTGCAAATGTGTTGAACTTTATTTAATGCTGCAAGCGAAGATTTGTTTTAGCGTGAGCAGGGAGGTTGGAGCAGAGAAGCCACTGTGCTCTCACTGTTCCAATTCTGGGAATTTAGATGGAATTCATAAATGCTGGAATCTCCTCCTCTGAGCTCAGATTTTAGCACTGGAAGGTCACTGATCCCTTCCCTGCTGCAAATGTCAGGAAGCCTCAGGATGCTCCCAGAAACTCGCAGGGTTTTTCTCCTGGGGAAGGCAGGACCATCACAATCAGGGCAATGTCAGAGGTAGGCAAATACCCCCTAATTGTATGCAGATGACAGAGCTGCTTCAGCCTTTTGACTAGTGAAGCTTTCCTCAATTTGGGATATTGTGATCCTAATCAGGGACCTCTCTCGGACATCAAAGCCAGCCTTGATTGCTCGGCTTCCTGCTCCAGCCCATCCCTGCCCAGGTGTCTTTCCTGCTCTGGCCGACTGATTCCTTTCTGCTCTTCATCTCTGAGGCAAAGAAATTCAATCCCAATATTGCTGCCAGCCCTGGAATGGACCCAGTGATTTGGAAATGTCCCCTCTCGTTGTTCTGAAGTCCCAGGGCAGGGGATACCTGCTGGCCCAACCTCTAACCTGAGGTGGGGCAGAGCTGTCAGCAGTGCAGCCAGCTGTGTTTGGGGCTGGCAGCTTCCTTCCCCTGCCCCTCTTTTGTTTCTCTAATTATTTTAATTGCATCTCTGTGTCCAGCTCTGTGTCCCCATCCCTGCTCCGTGTCCCCATCCCCAGCTCTGTGGCTCTGCTCTCTTTTCCACAGGCAGCAGAGGTGGCTTTGCCTGAGGGAAACAGTTGGGTTTGGATGTTAAAATTGTGAATCTTGCTGGGTTTTGTCTGTTATCCCAGGGACAGAGCCTGGTTTTCCCCATTGCTGCTTCCCAGGGATGCTGGAAGCGATGCCAGGAGCCCTGGGCTGCTCAGACCTGAGCAAAGGCTCAGCTGTGCCTGAGGCTTCTTCCTGGAAGGGGAATTTGGCATATTCCACAAGGATTTATGTCAGATTTTCAGTAAGCAGGCAGTGGAATGAGTCAGATCCATTGTGTTCCCTTGGGAACCACAACTGGACCCAGGCTGTGGATGTGCCGTGGGTCTCATTCAACCCCTGCAGTTTAACCACAGAAGCTGGCACCTTGAGACACAAACCAAAGTAAAATAAAATAATTGTGACAGTATTTTTGCCCTTTTTTCCCCCCAGGGGCTGATTAAAATCCGAGGAGATCGCTGCTGGAGAGAGTTAACTTGCATGGATTATCACTACGAGGTGAGTGATGTGCACACAAAACCTCATTTCTCTTGTCTGCTTTTCTTTTGTAAAATAATTTCCCCCAACCTTTCCTCTCCTGCCAGGCAGCTCTCCATGTTTTCCCTCTTTATCCCAGCCTCTGGCACTCAGGCCATGTCCCCGTGCCAGCTGGGTGATGCTGTTTTTCCCAACCACAGTCCTAAAAGACCAATTTCTCTCCTTCCCTCCCCTCCCCATCGTGATCCAGGAGCAAACCTGAGATTTACTGAGAACTTCCACTGTAAATCTGCTGCAGGGCAGGGAAAGGAGAAAATAGAAAGGAGTTTTTTGTGGTCCTGTTCCTGCTTACACCCCCCAAAAGTGGCCATTTGACAGAATCAGAGCATCCCTGTGCTCTCCAACACGCAGAGCAGATCCTTGGCAGTTCAGAACTCCGTGGGTTTATCTTTTTGACATCTGTTGCAGTGATTATGTTGCATTTTGATTATAAACTGGGGGTTTTTGCTGGCTCTGGGTTCATCTCCTCTCTGGTTACAGAGGCAAAATTGGTTCCCCTTCTCTCCTCACCTCTATTTTTGAATTTGAGTTTTATATAAATGGTGGTAAAAAGGAAAATGCTGCATCCAGTGATGATCCCAGGGGGAGAAGCTCTGGTTTGGTGAAGGGAATGATCCTGAAGGAATATTCTCTTCCCTGGATTCACCTCACAGCCCCTGCAAGTGGCCCAGGGTGTTAAAATGTCCCTGCCCTGGAATCTGTGGCCATCAAATATTTGGGAATACAAGTCTGATGAGGAGGAGCTGGGGAAGGGGCTCAGCCTGGAGAAAAGGGGGATCAGGAGGAATTTCTGGCTCTGCACAGCTCCTGCCAGGAGGGGACAGCCGGGGGGGTCGGGGTCTGCTCCAGGGAACAGGGACAGGAGCAGAGGGAACAGCCTCAGGCTGGGCCAGGGCAGGTTTAGATTGGATATTTGGGAAAATTCCTTCCCTAAAAGGGTGATCAGGCATTGGAAGGGCTGCTCAGGGCAGTGGTGGAGTCTCCATCCCTGGAGGTGACCAAAACCCACGTGGATGTGGCACTTGAGGACATGGTGATGAATATGGCTGGTGTTGCTCTTGCTGATGATCTCAAAGGGCTTTTCCAACTTTAACAGTTCCATAACTTTATGAAATAAGATTTTGCAGGTCCAAAAAGCTCTTGTTTGCCTTCTCAGCTTTAAATCTCCTTTTCTGTGTCGCTCTCATTTACTGTCACTGGGGCTTCCCCCTCAGTGTGAGGCTGGGCCTGTCCAAAAGCTGCTGCTCCTTGGCTCTCACCCAGCACCCAGGATCCAACTTCATCCCCAGCAAAACCTGGGATGAGAAGCCCCTTCAGTGCTGTCCTTCTAACGCTGAGCATGGGGGTGGCTGCAGTAAATTATCCCCTTTTCCAGGCACCTGGCAGCACTCGGGGAAAATGCAGCTCCGAGGCAGCCGGCGCTGACCCCGGCCCACAGCAATCAGCCCCAATAATCCCAGCGCTCCCAAATCAATCCCAGCATCAGTCCTGGAGCCCAGAGGAGATAATTGAGACCATTCCTGTCAGATCCATAAGGCAGGATCCCCAGCCTGTGCAAGTAATTGGGACCAGGGGCAGGGGGCAGATCTCGTTATCAATATCAATTATTTTAATCCCCACAAAAGAGGCTGCGAGAAAAGGAAAATGAAAGAGGCCAAACTTTGTCCACCAGCAATAATGGGACAGAAGTACCTAAAGGCTGGGATTCACCTGCTGATTCCAGCCAGAGGGAGGGAGAAAAGGGGGCAGCTGATGGTACCTCTGTGAGGGAGGGAGGGAGCTGGGAATCTGCTCGTAATTAGGATGATAAAAGTAGGGATTGGAGCAGGCTGGGGATGGATTTGGGCCAGATGGGTTGTGCTGAGATGTATGTTGGCCACCCCAGCTCTCCTGCTCCAGCACGAGCTGCATCCAAGATCTACATGGGCTCCTGTGCCAAGAGAATTAATGGAAACACATGGCCTCCATCACTGCCTGGACTATTTATTTGTAGTAGGACCTGCAGCTCTGCCCGTGGAAAAGAACATTTCCACTTTTGTCAGGAATTGTGGATGGGACAGTCCAGTGGTGTTATGGTTAAAAGGGTCGTTTTCCTTTCCTCCTTCCCTTCTGGTGTGCAGGGCCTTCATCCCAGCCCTGCTGGGGCTCTGCTCCTCACTGAGGGCTCTCTGTGCCATTTGGAGAGGGGAATGGCATGCTTGGCACAGGAGAGGGATTTTCCTACCAGCCTGACCCTCCTGGGTCCCTCAGGAGGAGATGGGCTCCAGGAAGTGTGGGAGAGAATTCAGGCTCTGCTGGAGCTGGAGAAGACTTTGCTGCAGCACCAGGCACAGCTTTGGCTCCTGGAAACTGCCTGGGCTGAGGCTCGGGGGATTAACGGTGCCTGTGGGTGCCAGGAGCCCCAGACTCTAATCCCAGCCTGGCAAGACACCACAAACAGGGAATTTCACCTCCTTCTCCCTGGGTTTCTGTGCTGTCCAGGCCAGGGGCTCCAAGGTGAGCACGTGGGTTGCACCTGGAGTGGCTGTGGGATGGGATCCCAGGTCCTGTGGTGTCCTGGAGCTTGATGTGTCCACATCACCACATCCAAATGGACACACCTGGGTGGCACCTGGCAGGAGAAGTCCTGGGATCTGCCGTCCATGGGTTTATTTATCTCTTTTTGGGCTTGCTGTTGTTTCACTGTGGTTAGAGGGCTCTTTGCCCTGCAAGAAATGCCAGGAAAAGGGAGTTTTCCCTCAGTGGAAGCTGTTCTGGTGCAGCTGCTGCAGGGAGAAGCTGCTCTGGGTCTCAGGTGTGCCTGGCATCAGGATTATTCAGATTTATCTGCTGTGGACACCGGGCTTGACAAATCCATGAGGCAGGACTGCAGGCTGGAGCTGGAATTCTGCTTCCATGGAGCCTCTAGCATGGATCCCACAGTGCCTGGGACATCATCCCACTGCCAGGGGAGGCAGAGGCAGGCTCAGATCCCTGCCTGTGCGAGGGGGAACGTGCCTGAGCGTGTCCCCCTGCCCCTGCCTGCCCCACAGGGATCATTCCCAGAGCCCAGCAGCTCCATCCCACAGCAACTCTGGGAAAATCTGCCTTGGAAGGTTCTGAGCCACTCCAGGCCCTTTCTGGAGCTCACAGGACATCTCCCAGAGGGGGTTGGAGCAGCTTTCCAACCCCTCTTAGGAGGTGCCAGGATTGGGATGGGGATGGGGGAGCCTCCACTCCCTCACCATTGCCTTGTTCCAGGCTTTATGTGGGAGTGCAGCCTGGCACAGGCACAGCAGAGCAAATCCCCTCGGGTAAGAGCCAGGAGAATCCCAGAGCCCTGCAGAGCTCCCTGTGCCCAGGTCTCCTGGCACGGAGCAGCTTTGATGGCACAGGCCACCAAACATGGTCATTTCTGACCCCAAATACTCCAGAAGGGGCCTTTGGATGCTGGTGGAGGTTCTGGCAGAGCAGTTCAGATAATTAAAGGGGTTTTGGGATGGGCAGGTCCTGCCTGGTCTCATCTCTCCTGTCCCACCAGGGAGGTGCTCGGGGTGGGATGCAATCCACTGATGCACTTTTCCTGCTGGCTGCCAAACTGCTGCTGCTGCTGCTTTTTAATTCCAGACAGATATCTTGGAAAATTCAGCCACCAACTGGTGGGAACAGCTGTGGGAGCAGCTGCTGGGGCAGGAGCCCTGCTGGGCAGCGAATCCACGCCGAGCTGCTGGATGCAGCCACGGGTCCCTCCTGAGGGACCTCACTGACTTGTCCGAGGACAGACGGACATGGAGGGGCTGGAGTGTGGCCAGGGAGGGGAATGGAGCACCAGGAGAGGCTGAGGGAGCTGGGGAAGGGGCTCAGCCTGGAGAAAAGGGGGATCAGGGGGAATTTCTGACTCTGCACAGCTCCTGACAGGAGGGGACAGCCGGGGGGTCGGGCTGTGCTCCAGGGAACAGGGACAGGAGCAGAGGGAACAGCCTCAGGCTGGGCCAGGGCAGGTTTAGATTGGATATTTGGGAAAATTCCTTCCCTAAAAGGGTGATCAGGCATTGGAAGGGCTGCTCAGGGCAGTGGTGGAGTCCCCATCCCTGGAGGTGACCAAAACTCACGTGGATGTGGCATTTGGGGACATGGGCCAGTGGTGACCGTGGTGCTGCTGGGAAGGGTTGGACTCCATTTCCTTAAAGGTCTTTTCCAACCTGAATTGATTTTGAGGTAAAAGGATAAAGGGAATGCAAAACTAAACCCCACTCCTGGAGCAAACCTTGGTCAGAGTTGGAAGTGAGGTCCAGGAATTTCTTCCCTGCTCCGGAGTTCCTGCAGGAGCTCGGGATGGGTTGGTCACCACACAGCAGCAAAGTCTGGAGGATTTCACTGAACTCTGCTGAATCCCAGCCCCAAAATGTCTCTGTTTTATCTCCAAAAGTGTCGCTGCCGCTGAGAAAACCTCTCTGTCCCCAAGACCCTGCAGAGCCACAGAGGCCACTCCTGAAGGGGACAAATTGTCCCTAATTGCTGTGGCAGTGCTGTTCCCAAGCAGAGGCTGTCAGTCAGAGCTCCAGCCCCAGCTCCTGGAGAAGCTCTGGATGAAGCACAATGGCTTTTGTGCCTAATTAGGCCTTGCTGACTGATAGCTGTGCTGATAAGGGCGATAAGGAAGCTCAAACTGCTCCTTAACTGCCTCTTCATTCCTTTTCTCCCTCCTCTCCCCTGGATTAGACCTCGTTAAGCTTTTCATCCAGCTTTTTCCGAGCCATTATGAAACGAAAAGTAAATAATATTTAGCAATCTGTTGGGATGAATCAGAAAATGAGCTGCTTTTATGAGCCCGGATGGCTCAGGGTGGGCTTCGTTCCAACAGTTTGTATGGCTGGAAGGGAAAATGTTCCTAGCAGGGAAAGCAGGTGCTCAGATTTCGTGCTGAAAATTCTAAAGTTGCAAATTCAGACGAGGGAAGTGGTGCTGAATTAAACAGAAAA